ATAAGGGGGCACGCGGAGGTTAGAAGCGCGGAGAGCAGGAGGGCGGACTTGTTGGACGAGGGGATCAGGGTCGCGGATCAGGAGCTGGTGAAAACGCCGAGCGTGATCTCGGATTTGGACCGCAACAGCTCGGAGTCGGAGAGGGACTCGGAGATCGAGTTTATCAGGAACAAGGTGGAGAAGCTTGCCGAGGAACTGCCCGACGAGAGGAAAGGCCTGTTCTACGAGGAGAGCTTCGAGGAGGATCTCCCCTATATCCCGACCACCCTCCCCTTGGAGAAGAGCGTGGCTGTGCCGATCCTGCCTGTGAAACAACGACTTCAGGAAGTGAGGTAAACTGCTCCCCTTATTCCCCCCTCCCCCCTCCTCCCTTCATCTCTACGACGATGATCGAATTTGGTCGGTTTTTAGAACGATACCAATCGAGAGGCCGCGTTCCACGACACCGATAAACCCGACACTGCTCGACGAGTTCGTGATGCAGACGTCTCTGGACGAGCGCCGCGTGGAGAAAATGAAGATATCGTTGCCCCGGGAAGAAAGTTTCAAGCTGAAGAGCCCGAGGAAGCACGCGGCGAACACGTTCATGGAGTTCGCCGGCAAGGTGCCCGACGGGGGGCGGAAAACCGCGGGCAAGTCGCCGAGTCCTCCTCCACTGCCACCGAGGGCCACGGCCAGGCCGAGCAATTGGATCAATTTCGAGGAGATACCGGAGAAGAGGAAAGCGCCGAAGAGGATTCAAACGATCCCTCGGCCCGAAGACGAGGTGAAATCAGGTGGATACAGTTACGTTCAACCGGAGGAATGCAGGTACGCGTGAAAATCGAGAGCGCCCTCTTCCAGCGTTCCCGAGTTCATTTTTATAGTGCTTGCGACATTTTCGAATTATCCTGAACGTTCTTTAGATTAAAATAGAATTATTAAACAGGTGCGAGTGCCACGAAGAGTCGCGACGAGCGTCGATGAAAGAGGCGGCTGCGACGAGGGCGTCGTCCTCGTGCAGCAGCAACGGGGAGCGTGCTTGCAACGGTGACAACTGTACGGTGCCTACGTCGACGTCCCTGGATCGCGCCAGTATCGTCAGGTAAACACGCCCGGGTACGATTGTCGATCAAAGTCGAATCGGTATGAATAGAACAATCGTCGAAGACGCTAGTGATGAGTAGAGGTTTGTTTCTGTACTTTCAGTGACAGCTCGTTGGAGTGTAGCCTGAGCATCGAGGAGAACAACGCTACGCAACCGTTATCGGCTAAGCCGTTCAGCATGGATCTGGACATCAGGTCGAATCGGTCCAGTATCGTATCCCAGGACGAGACTGACGAGACCCTGCACCAATAATAGTTCATTCGCGGCACGCCTCGCCTTATTATCCTCTTGTTAATCGGAACGAAGATTCAACCCCTTGTTGGAACTGTAACTCTCGATCCGAGTTCTCGTTGCATCTGTAGCCGATCCGAATCTCCAATGTATCTCGTCGAAACTGGATAACGAATCCACTCTGCTCTCCCTCTCCCTTCTACTCTTATTTTCTCTTTCTCGCTTCTCTCTATTATTAAAACCGTCTAAACGGTTTCTCTTGTCTATAATCATGTCAATTTCAGTGGCAAAGTTTAATGCTAGTTTACTATGCAACATTTTCTATGCAGTCGTTATATCTAATTAAAGACAGAGTAATTCGTTATTCGGGGATATAAGTATCGTGTTAAGTGCGTTCGGAATAGAGCTCTTATTATAACCGGATATATCCGAGTGTTCGAAACATGCTCATTGTAACTCGAGTTTTCCTTCATGATTCCAAATACGAGGTTTTGAATCGAAGAGACCAAATTTAAATGTATTCACAACGGAGCTTCGAGTTTTAAATTAAACTCGAGTTCGGATGCTAGAGTCGATAGTAAGAGCTCTTCTGGTATTATTGTATCTATATTGTGTAATCGTTCCGATTTTCCTCCATTTTCCTCGACTTTTCTCGTCGTTGTCTACGAGCCTTGTTTGTATCAACCGGTTATCGAACATCGAACGTCAATGCTAATTTTTAATCGCGCTTTCGATTTTACGAAAAACCGCGAATATGTCACGAACGCGAGCACACACATTTGTACATAACCTATAACGAGAATTTCGAGAACATTTTAATCTAAGGGCGTAATTTCCACGAGAACTCGTTCGTTCTTTCGTTACTAGTTCCCTCGTCGCGCATCAACCCTTGAAAAGTGGGAAGAGAAACGATGCTTTGACCAAATGCTTCCTTACGGGAGATCGAATCGAGGACGATGATTCGTGAGAGAGAAACAATCCACGGTTTTTCGAAGCTTCGGAATTAAAAGTCGAATGTCGACGCTTTACGCTAGAAAAAGAATGAAAATTAGTGGATAGTTTATTAACGATCGCGTTTAGGTCGTCTTGAAAGTATATGATAATAGCGAACAATGCGTTCAAATATTTTTGCGACCAATTATAGACAGGACCTCGAAGCCCGTAATATGTGTGTTCTCGAATATCATTGGCAAACTTCGTAGCAGCGAGCTCCTTTCGTTTCCAGACTAATAGAGAGAAGAGTACGTTATTTTGTCGATCGTCTGGTGTAAAAAAAAAAAAGAAAAAGGAGCGTGTCACGAAGAGAGCTTACTTTCGATTCTTCATATCATGTAGATAAATTTAGATCTGTAAGTGCCACGAATGTAGAGAATCATAGAAAATTAGAGAAATTGTAAGAATGATTGTTACGTTGAATCAATCGATTTTTGCGTATGACACGTGTTCTATTAAAATAGAGTTAATCGCGTGTACGCGAAAATCAGCGAATATTCGAAAATTTCATTGGACGCATGTGATGCGCATCGTCGAAAAATCATTCTCTCAGTATTATACGCGTGGATAATTGTGATTGCGTGTATGCGTGCATATCATTCCATATTCATAAAATTAATTTTTATTTTCCCTCGGATTCATCGCAATTTATCGAGCTTCGAATTTCGAAAATGTGAATATTATTATATATTGTCCACGGTCATCGTTCACGAAAGAAAAATGGCAACGATCTCCCAGTATATTGAGCCGACGAGTATAAATAGCGAAGATATCGATGTTAGACGCTTATAATCACGACAAAAATCAAACGATCATAACCTATAAAATCGATCCGATTGCGTTTCGTTCAAGTGCTTCGATTGCTTCGTCTCGCGTCACTGGAATAACGATCATCCTTTATTTCGAGTCTGAAAATATGTGATAGGTTATCTGAATTGTTTTGTAACTCGCGATAAATTTCAATCACTAAGGCTTCCCAACCAATGTTTTCTTTCATTGTTCGATAAAAACTTCTTCGCTCGAATGTGTTTTCGTCTAAATTGTTTTTGTAATAAATCAAGTTTGGATTTTTTGGAAGCTTCAAATATCGGAAAACAAGTGTCGCGGAAAAATTCTGTTTCGTGAAAGTCAAATCGAAAAGTACAAGATAATAGAGATAATTGTAATTGTTGTTCGATCCTCGTTAATTGATAAGAAAGAATCTTATCGATCGATCGCGATATATCGCAATTTAACGATTGAATAACGATTCGATGAGTGAGAACAATAGTCGGAAAATGAAAAGATGAGACAAAAGGTGAAAAAAGAAAGTTCAACTTTTTTTTTTGCATCGTTACTCGATGATTAATTAAATCATCGACAAAAATCAATTAGCTATCAATTATCGAATTAAATTATTATATCGATTATATTTATATATATTATATTAATCGATAAATCGAATTAGCGATAATATCAGAGAACCGCTTTTATATCGCTTCTTCCGTTTTAATGGAAGGGAAAAAGAGAAAGAGTGTAAAGTTATTGAAGAAAAAGATTCTTATGAAAAATATTTCCTCTTCGATATTCTTTAGCAACATACATCACACTATTCGTAATTATACTTTTTAAAATATGTTCAACGACAAGCGGAAATGAGAACCGAAATAATTTGATATTTCTAAAATTGTGTAAATAATGAATTAGAAAGAAATGCATATCGCGGAAAAGCATAAGAGAATGAGAATAAAATCAAACGAAATGAAAAAGAAATAAAAGAGAGAGAAACAATGAGTGAGAAGGGAAGCGAAAGCAGACGGAGAAAGAGAATAAAAAAAATGCGTTTTAACGAGTAACTCAATCATTTCAAATACGTTCTCCTTTTTTTCTTTTCTTTTTTTTTTTTTTTTTTTTTTTT